GCATCGAAGGAGGTATTTGGGGAAATGTCTTCTCCAGGCTGGTGCTGTGGCTTCTTCTTCTTCTTTTTTTTTTGCGGCACACTAACCCAAAGGATCCTGTTTGCAGCTCAGCGCCGACGTCCTCCTGCAGGATCCATTAGTCTCGGCTGATGAAACTGAGGAGGAAAAAAAAGTGGATTTTTCCCCACATACGTTCCCTCCTTTGTGTCACCGCGGCCGCAGAGTGGAAGGATAGACGCCTGAATTTACAGTTGGTTCTCTGAGATGATATCAGAAGGAGAGAAGAGGGGAAAAACATCTGTGCGATCAAGTGCTTTTTTTCTTTTATTCTTTTATTAGGTAGCAGATTGTAAAGAGAAAATAAAAAAACGGAGCCACCACCTGCACAACGCTCCACACAAACCGGGCTACAACAAGTCCAGATGCAAAAACTTAACGTGCAGATTTTTGGACAAGTTTGTTCACCGATTCTGGTCCATGCTGACAGTAAAAGTCCTGATCCAGAACTAACAGCAGCAGAGACCCAGGAGCAGCCAGACTGATGGATCCAAGCAAAACCCAACCAAAGTGCAAACAACCTGTGGACTCTTTTTTTTAAACGTGCTGCAGGATAGATTTTAACTTTATGGACCGGACAGATGTTTAAATTTGAATTATAAGGACTCTGGTCATCCCTTAACATGTTTGAAAGGCATGTTAGATTTAAAAATCAGAGCCAGAAGCTGTGAAAACTGAAAAAAATTGACAGATTTTCAACTTTCTGACAACTCATTTGTTGTTCAAACAGGAAAACTATCCAAATCTAAGCTTACAAATGGTGATATTTCTTTAAAAAAAATAAATCACGCCTCATCTGTACATAGGAAAGTCTGTATTATGTCCTTATTTTTAACCTTATTGTACTTCTGTTTTCTTGTCTGGCTTCTTTCATGTCATTTGCAGGAACCAGATTCTGCAAAAAGTAATTAATTTTGTGCTTTTCTGTGCAACTGTGAAGCGTTTCGGTTGAACTGCAGGCAGTGTTTGCACACAACAGATAGGAGGCAAGTACGTAACTAGCAAAATATCTATACTATGGAGAGTCATCATTATTTTTTTCCCAGTATTTGGAATAAACTAAAGATTTCTGTCATTCCAGCCGTCACTCTGCAGACATTCTCTCTGCTTCTAGTCATGGTTATTCTGTGTCCACAGATGTGCAGGAAAAACGAGTCCACAGTGAGCAACAAAGCGTTTAGAAACTGCTCGTAGTTCCTGCAGCGCCACCACCAGGTTTAGTGTCTGTGTTTTTGAATGAAACGTCTAAACATCGACGAGACTGAGCGCCGTGAAATTTGGCACAGATATTTTAGGCCCCCGGGGGGATGAATCCTAAATCCTGTGGCGATCTTCTGACCTTCCTTTTTTAGCACCACTGTAGAGTCAAAGCTTTCCACTGTGCTGTGAAATATCTCAGCGCTTGCACGGCGGAGCTGCGTAAAATACGACTGACTGGTTGTCGTCAAAGCCCCTAAATCCTGTTTTGTCCAAGACTTTTGGTTTATGCCGCACAACTAATCAGTTGGTTGGAAAAACAATCGTCCCGTTAAGATTAACAAAATGTTCCACCTGCAGCCTTATGAGCCTTCATATATTCTAAATTAACATAAAGAGCTCGTGTTTACAGCATATTAAATTAATTTTACCTGCTTATTGTGTAATGGGAGCAGAGCAGCTGCACATCTTCATCCGGTTTCTGAAAACATATCAGCTGGTGATGAAGCACAAGAACTTCTGAGAGCTGCTGCTTTAGATGATCTGACATGTTGGTTGTTGTTTATATTCGACTTTTTGAACAAAACGCACCGACGACTTCTTGGACATGATGTCAGTTGGTTTGGAACCGACTCTGAATAAACATTCAGCAAATGTTAAAAAAAGTTCGACTGGGGCAGCTGAAAGTTGTCAGAAGTGTTTTCAGGTAGTTGGTTCCTGGAAAGTTTTTCTCTTTTTGAAGGTAACACCAATAGGATGCCAGTTGGGAGCGTATCAACCAATCGAACAGCCGTCGTAGACGCTACGGTCCTCATTAAAACTTCAGTATTTTGTCTGAGAACAAGTCTAAACCTCCAACTAATGAGAATCTGGTGGACCAGCTGACCCGGACGACACAGTTCTGCTAATATTCCCATTCTAATCAGCCTCAGCTGCACTAATTAGCATTTGCTAGCATGCTAACTTGGTGAACGTTGAACCGTAGCCGCTTAAATTACAAATTAATTTTACGTTATAAGGGTTGAAGCGCAAAAACGTTGATGAAGCCAAGTCCAAGGAATGGCTCCTGTTAAACTAATCAAGCATCAGTGATTCATACGTGTAGAAGTTCAAAGCTTGGCAGAAAGGAGTTTTATGAAGTCACGAGTTGAGTCACCTGATTGAAATCGAGGGAAACTGGCCTCATTTTGTGTTTCCCAGCTGTTGGCGTTGCATCCGAGTCGAGGAGAAACCAAGTTAATCCTCAATCTGGACAACAGCGTCCAATCAGCCTGCGCTAATTAGCGCTTGCTAGCATGCTAATGTGCTAAATGTTATACTGTAGCCGTCTAAACTGGGATTACGCTCCACTGTGGACATCTTTGTTCGTATTATTCTTGTCTGCTTGGAGGACACGTTCCTATCTGCTTGTTAGTTCTACTTTTACACTCTACTTAGACATGTTAATACTCTTTTTATTGTAAATACCAACAATTTTGCACCTTTTTATTGTAAATACTTGCAATTTTCGGCACCTCATGTCTTCGCCTGGCACGTTTCTTGCTTTTTCTTTTGCATACCGGTTTCCTTATTGAGTGCAATATCTTGAATTTCCTGGTAAATAAAGTGCCTATTTACTAATTCGCCATCTACACTTCTGCAACTAAGAACAAACTGGAAGTATTTTAAAGTTAGCGCTTCCCAAACTAAAAGGTTGAACTTCCATCAAAAGGTTTTCAGAAATGTAAATTAACTGTACTATTTTTAAAATCGTAGTTTCATCTTTCAAACAGTTGAAGTGGGAACATCTCTGACAAACGTCTTCTTTAATTAGGCCAAAGAACAGTCGCTTTAATCTAACTTACAGTGTATGACGTTGGAAAACAGCTAGAAAATAGAGCTGTAGCGTGGTTTCTACAGTTCACACTGGGTGTTTACTGCACGTATCTAATCCTCTTCCTGCTGTTTAATCCATTTATCGATACCTGTACGTCTACAGAGCTATGAGCGTTATATAGCAGGCTTGTTTTCATCTTTCTTTGCCTCAGGAACAGCTTTGACGATAAGAGTCCATTGGATAAATTGGCAATCACAGAAAAAAAGAAGCAAATATATCTTGTAAAAACTTGCATCTTCACCTTCTGCTTCTACAGAAAGAGCTTCGATGTGTCCGGCAGGTCTGCGGCTTATTAACCGCGCCGACCTTTTCCTCTCCGTCTCCTTCACGTCGCTGCCTCCCCTCAGTCCAACACACCATATAATTTAACTGGTCACATATGCAGATTTATTTTCTCCAGCTGGGACATTCCTCTCTCCAGACGCTCACGGTTCCCATGTCCGAGGAGGGACCACAGGGAGAAAACCAGGACAGCGTCCCAGACGAGGCCTGAATCCGGACGGCTGCATAAATCTCACTTTTACTAGATAGCAGCTACTAAAATCTAAAACAAAACAAAACAAAAAAAACTGACTTGTACGCACACTGGTGGTAGGATTTGTTCACGGTGGAGCAGCTGAGGCTTGTAAGGCCCATAACTTCTCACAGGGGCAAAAAAACAACATCCGACTCTGCTGCTGAACCCGTAATTATGTCAGGTCGAGTCTGTAGACGCTTAAAAACTGGTCGGAATAAAGCTTCTTTTATTTTTTTTTACACTGTGTCTGTAATGCAACTGTGCTCAACGTGTGCAGAAGACAAAATATGGATTTCAGAATTTCCTGGAGAGGATTAAAAGACATCACGGCACAGAAAGTAGGCTCTAATTAGCAGCCCAACTGTCAGAAAACTTGGGAAGTAAAACGTGAGCAGGAGGCTGCAGCGAAGCCTTGAAAGCAGAAAGAAAAGGGGGGTTGTGGGATATTATACGAGCTCTCAGATGTGTTTGTCTTGGCATCGCCTCGCAGTGATGTCATCATCATCATCATCATCATCATCACCGCCGTTGCTCCACTTCTTCAGATGACGGCAGAGAAGCTGCTCGCGCCGCTTTTCTGAGCGCTTCGATCAATATTAAACGTTCAGAACGGAGCCTTCAGACGGGAGGCCTGGCGAGCAGATGCTGTCAGGCCGGATATGAAGGAACGGGGATCACAGGGGGAGATTACAGCGCAGCTCGGGCACACACATGAATATTCATCAAACAAAACACTCAACCATGCATGCACTTAGCGCCGAAGACTCCCGGCAATCAAAGTCGAGCGAGAAGACTCGAGTCTGAGAGCTGACGGGAGCGCTTGACATTTCCAAACTTCAAAAAACCGGGAGAGGAAATGAAGACGTCCACGATCGACCGAGAGCCACATCACAAACCGTCTCCCCCGTCAGCCCTCACGTTACAATTATCTCATTTCTGCTGACGGGGGTCGAACCGGGAGAGGAGCTCGATAAAGCTGGTTACGACTGACTCATTAAGGCGCCTAATCAGTCAAAGATGCTGGAGTGGAGATAAACTCAGCCTGCAGATAACGGCAGCGATTTCTGCGGCGTGTTTGTGCCAAACTTTCTGCTGAGCTCTGTTGAGTTGTGCAAGCTGCTGGCTGTCAGAAAAAATGAGATCCAGCTCTGGGGGGTTTTGCTAAACAGAATTTCAACAAGGGAGGTGATGATGCAAAACGCTATCAGGCTGCTGCTCAGACTTTCCTCCTGACTCTTTACCTCTTGTCGCCACAACACTGGGCGACTTTTTTGGAGCTGGTAGAGGAGAAGCGAAGAAGATGCAGCTCTGTTTTGAGCAACATGTGAGTGATTAAAAAGTGGGTAAACTCACCGCTCTCGCTCTTCTCGATCACGTCCACCGTCTCGCCGGCCTTGAGGCTGATCTCCGAGTTCTCCTGCCTCTCGTAGTTGGCCACGGCCACGTACTGCTCCAGCACCATGGGCTCCGAGCTGTCGATCCCTGAGGGGAAGAAACAGGCTGTGAGCCACCTGCCCGCCGTGGCGCCCCGCGAACGCCCGCTGCACCCAACTACACTGCTGCTGCCGCGCACCCGGTACGCCGCCATCGGCCAACCCCCTGCCGCCGCCGCCGCCGCCGTGCCTCCCCGACCAATCAGAACGCGACCTCACGACTTGGCTGCATAGTCCCAAACGTCTGGCCATATAGCTGCTACGACCTCGACCGAGGAGCATCAAAACGGAGGACGGGGAGGCGTTCGCAGCGGCCGCATGTCGCTCCTACTGAGGATCCATGAGCTTGAAGAGGGGAAAAGACGAAGGGGGGGAAAGAAAGAGGAGCTGCTCACGGTCTGAGAGCGAATGAGTGGAAGAATGGTGAAGTTTCCCTGTGGAAAATCAACAGTGCGGTGGAGAGGAAAGGCCTCCCCTCCGCAGCCGTTGGACGGGGACTCGGAGGGGGGGGCGAGCACACCAATCATGGTAGTCGGCACTGCTGGCCTTAAATAGAAACATATGAGTGGACTGCAGAGAGGAGCAGCGAAGGAGGCTGGGTCCATGTTTATGTGAAACAAAAGAAGAAAGAGTTGGGGTTAGGCCACTCTGTTTTCCCCCCTCTAATGTTTAACCTCTTACGTGCCAGCAGTGATTTCATTCACTCGTGTGTCGCGCGTCTGACCCGAGTTTAACCGCCAACGGTTCTGCAGAAAAACGGTTTCTGATCACATTCAATCAGTCGTCAGGGACAGAGCATTAAAGAGCCCAGATTTCTTTTTACAGTTCTCCTTTTAAATGTTTAATCCAGCTGCTTTGTTGTGCATGGAAAGCTTTTTCAAACTCACAAAGTCCATGCTAGCGGTGCCTGAAACACTTCATTTCAACTCTTCTGTCGCTTATCTACGTCACCATGTCATTGTTTCCGTAACTCGCTGCCGTTTGCACACAGTTCAAATCAAAACACCTCGTTTTTTTTAATGCCACCAAAAGCTGACAGAGAAAGCTAAAGCTATTTCAGGTTTTGATGATGTAAACAGCAGCATTTTTGCCAGTGTTTTTTTTTTTTTAGCAGCATAAAAAGCAGTGTTTTTAATTAAAGTGCTGAAAAAGTGCAATTTTTATGGTTTTCCTCAGTAAGAAAAGCAGTGTTGTAATTAGAATTCTGTAAAAAGTGATGCTTTTTGGGACTTTTGTGGCATAAAAGCTGCTTTTGGCTGCGTAGAAAACAGTGTTGTAGTTAGAGGAGCATAATGAGCAGAACTTTTTTTGTTATTGACGGTATAGAAACTAGCATGATGAGAGCGCTATGAAATGAGGCACTTTTTTGGCTTTTGACACTGTAAAAAGTGGTGTTGCAACTCTAAAGCCGAGAAAGCAGCACTTTTTCAACTTCTGATTGGTAAAAAGTGGAGCTGCACTTAGATTAGATACTAGATTATGACAGCATAAAAAGCAACAGACGTAAAGAGTGCCGATTCAGGTTGAAACGTGTGCGTAGAGAGGTGAATTATGGTACTTTTGATAGAAATTCCCAGCTTTTCTGATGGAGCTATGTCTCTCTTTTGACTTTTTTTTGACCCAAACGGAGCATTTCCATTGCTGCAGCGTTGCACAGTATGGAAAAAATAAAGTGCATGTAAACCTTTAAACCTTTAAATGCACAGAATATGGGCTCTTTAATGCTGTAAGAACACATAAATGGATGCTGTGTGGCCTAAAACTGTGAAAAATTTAAATTCTGGCAACAACACCTGGAAAATACGACTGCCTTTAACGTGTCTCTGTCCAACAGCTCTTATATTGACAGGAATTCTAAAATACAACTGGAAGGAGCTGCTATGAGTGAATTTTTAAAAAACATCTTGCAGCATCGAGCTCAGCGGAAGACCTCTGAGGTATTTTTGTGGGAACTATTATTGGATGTGATCAATAGACAGGAAGGAAAGACGGTCAAAACAGAGAACATGCAGCAGACAGATGGTTGGTTGCATGAAGCTGGAGGCAGGCAGGAGGCGGCTAACGGCTGGCTAGCAGCGGACACCAGACACAGTTTGGCTGCATGCTACGTGTCAGAAAAAATAAAATGAACAATATTATACATGCAGTGAAAGGCAGCAGTGATGGAAACTAAAATAATGCTGAGCAAATACGGCAGCTGAGATAAACTTTATCAGTCTTCATGGCTGCATCTGAGAAACTGAACACACCAACTTTGTCTCTGTGCATCTCCTCAGTTTAACCCTCTGAACCCAAAGCAGGTGTTTCTTTGCTCCATTTTTCACTACAATATAAAGTCCTGCACCTCCATAGAAACACTTTCATGCTACTCCGCACATCCACTGTTTCACCGTGCTGGATGTATCCTCCAACAACTTGCTCCTCTGTTCATCGTTTTTGAGTCACGCTGCATTTATTTTATCAATCAGGTTTGTTTTGTTTTCCTCTCAGTTTCTCTTGTCGTCTCCTCTCTTCTCTACAGAAACACAGCCTGCAGTTCAATCTAACAACTCAGAACTTCTGAGTCAGTTGCGACTTTTCCACAAAGGAGTCCAGATTGTTGTTGTTGTTTTTTACAGATTCTGGTGCAAATTTTGGGAACTTTTTGAACGAGACATGTAGAAAAAAGGGATTTCTTAATTATATTTGGTAAATTTTCTCACATGATGAGTTCAAGGACCGTCAGAATTTTCTAAATCCGACGAATGAGACGCTTTCACCGTCTGATCAGTGAAAAGCAAAGAAGGCAAAAATAAAAACAACACGCGTTCTGATAGCAGGGTTACAAAACAACTTGAGACGGCGTGAACTAAGCAGCATATTTTTAACTCGGACTTGGTTTCTAGTCTTGTTTCGGCAAATTTTACGACTGCTGAGGTATTTTTGTGGGAACTATAAGTGCGCGACTGCAGAGGTTTTTAAATTGTAATGCACACTTTATATTCACAATGTTTACTGAAGCGATTGTTTTGTTAAACCAACGTGCATCGATGTGAAGATTTATGGTTTGATTTTGAGGGCAGTGTTTTTTCAGTGTTTTGTATTTTGTATTATTCCCTTTTTGTACTATAATTTAGACATTTGTGTACAGACTTTCTATTTTACAGTTTCTGATTTTTTGTTTCCTGTGCAGCTCACAATAAAGTTTGACTGAAACAAACACGAGATGAACACAGAACCATCACAGCGCTGATCTTAACAGTCGACCTGTGGCCTCTCTATGACAGTAAAACAGGTACACTCCTGCATTCAGGCAGTCTGGATGAATTAAAAGCAGACGACAGCATTTGCACAGTGTTTCAAACACAATTAAGATTCTCTGTTTGTTGGCAGGGAGCTCCAGGGAATGCTCATAACCCGCCTTCCCCACCGGGTCGCGTTTTTCTGTCTGTCTTTAGGAGGCGAAATAAAGAAAAGGACCAAACTGTGGAGGACGTCAGCAGCCTATGTGCAGGGAGCCATCAAAGCAAGCCTGAGGTAATAAAGCTGCACAGATCCAGCTATTTAACAGCTTTATGCTGCAGTAATGGCAACCACGCCTTGTTGAGAAATACCATGAATCCTAAAGACCTGTTACGTTCTGCCTTTCATATTCCAATAGTTTTACTGCAAGACGTTTCAAATTATGGGCGTGTTGGGAGGTTTTCTCCGACACCTACACAAACATGTCCTGCCTGCTTAAACTACAGTTCAAACAACATTAGCTAAATAGTCATCAGATGTCAAAATGTGCTCTTATAACAGCGGGAGGAAATGCTCGCAGCCGGGATTTGCAATGAACACATTTGTAACTCTGCTTCTTCTGTCTTGACTCATCATTTCATTACACCCAAAGTTGAGTGAGATCATCGGCTGCGATCAAAACAAAAGTGAAGAACCGGATGTGAAGCCTCACCCTAGTTCCTACCTCCTACTAGGGATCGACCGATTATAATCCCAGGCGACTACTGAAGCTGATATTTGGCATTTTTAGATGACTGGTTGTGTTATTTTTATTGGTAAAATAAAGAAAAGCACTCAGCAGCTCTCTCTGCAGTCACTGCCCACGGTGCCTTCTGATTGGCTGTCACATGTCACGAGCAACAGCCAATTACAGCTATTGTTTACACAGAGAGACAGATTGGTGTGTTTGGGAGATGAGGCAGCAGAAGGTTCATTATCATATTTTTATAGATTTGTTGTGTTTTACAGAAAGACACAACATTTTACTGTTGGTGTTAACAAGCTGGACCTGATTCTGCTGACGATGCTAGGCTACGGCTAGTGCTAAGAGGCTAGCTGTGGCTCTTAGCTTACTGCTAGCTGGAGCACACTGACATCGTTCTAAAGTCAGATTAGCTTTAACGCTCTCTTTTTTAACTGACACAACCTGCAAAAACTAAATCAGAAGCACAGACAGGACAGGCTAATGCTATGCTAACAGCTAGGTTAGATGTTAGCTTGCTGCTAGCTGGAGCACACTGACATCGTTCTAAAGTCAGATTAGCTTTAACGCTCTCTTTTTTAACTGACACAACCTGCAAAAACTGAACTAGAAGCACAGACAGGACAGGCTAATGCCATGCTAACAGCTAGGTTAGCTCTTAGCTTGCTGCTAGCTGGAGCACTTTGACATCGTTTGAAAGTCAGATTCGCTTTAATGCTCCGTTGTAACTGACACAACTTGCAAAAACTGAACCAGAACACAGACAGGACAGGCTAATGCTATGCTAACAGCTAGGTTAGCTCTTAGCTTGCTGCTAGCCCGGAGCACTTTGACATCGATCTAAAGGCAGACTAGCTTTAACGCTCCGTTTTAACTGACACAACCTGCAAAAAACTGACCCAGAAGCACAGACAGGACAGGCTAATGCTATGCTAACAGCTAGGTTAGCTCTTAGCTTGCTGCTAGCTGGAGCACTTTAACATTGTTCTAAAGTTAGATTAGCTTTAACGCCCACTTTTTTTAACTGACACAACCTGCAAAAACTGAACCAGGAGCACAGACAGGACAGGCTAATGCTATGCTAA